TTTTATTTGAAAAATACAGTGAAGTTTTTATAAGCAGCCCCACCATGGTGCCTACATCATTAACAGAAGTCAGACATAATTTTAAAAACGAGTAAAATTAAGACTGAGTTCATCACAGTTCAGTTAACAGCTCCTGGGCTTGGGAAAAGTCGATTTAAGGAATGGTGGGATATCCTGGATATGCAGCCAGGATGAGACCATGACGCTAGGCCACTGGAATACTGGGCCAGACGCCTCCACTGAAGACTGCCATGCCTGGCTGAGACTGTCCGCCTTTGGCTTCCAAGTATTCTAGTGGACAGGCAAAGAAAACCTTCGATGGGGATGAGACTTCCTGGGCAACTGCCAGGCTGGGCCAAGACCACCACCTTCTCCTTCAGGCGTCCAGGCCTAGCTACAGACCTGAAACCTCAGCCTATTCAGTGGTGAGCACCAGTTGTCCCTACTGGACAACATGCGAAAGGTATTTGCCCATGTTGACGTTCTTACTCAGATCCTGGCTGGATGCATCTATTGTTAATCCCTGTGTGGTTTCAGAACTGCAAGAGAATTGCTGTGAACGTAGGCAATTAAAATGTACTGCCTTGATCAGCCTTATCAAGGCATTCAACCATGTGAGGTGGCATGGTTTGTTTAAGCTGCTGAACAAATTGGGTGTTTATTGAAGCTGCTCAGTGTGAACTCTTTCCACAATAACATGAGTACCTTTAGCAATGGCACGGAGTGTAGAACCATGAGATTCCTAGTACAGCCAGACACTGTTGTGTTCTGGCATTACTGGTCTTTTTAGCATATTTTTTCTCCTCTTCTTTAGTGCTGTCAAATGCTTTGCAGGTAGCTACTTACTTACACCAGAGCTGTGTCAGAAGGCTGTTCCACCTTGCTCGCCTGAAATCCTAGACAAAGATGTTCCATGTCCTCGTCGGACATTTGTTTTAAGTTGGTGATGCTGCATGAACATTCATTCAGCAGTAAATGAACCAGCATCGAGATGGTTAGCATATAGTCCAGGACATTCCAAAACACGCTTAACATTGCTGTGGAGGTTCATAGCTACATATACCTTGGCTCCACAATCCTTAGCAATCACTTGATGCTGTAATCCATAAACACAGAGCAAACATTGCAACTATTATGTCCCAACTCGGTAACGGTGTGAAATGACTGCAGCCTGATGAAGAACGCCAAACTCTGCAACTGCATTCTTTGTAATGAAGTGCACTGTGGTGAGATCCTGGGCAACAAATACTCGACAAGAGGTTGAACATTTTCAACCTTCACTGTATCAGACATAGTCTTGCTATCTTCTGGCAGGACAGGGTCACTAACCCAGAGGTCCTGGAGCATGCTGACTATCAGTGTCCACTCACTGCTGTCCAACCACATCTGTGCAGGCTCTGCTATACTTACCAGAAGAATGATGGCCATATTCTCAAGGACCTTTTTCATGTGTAGTATTCTGGCCACTATAACAAGACCTCCCTGAGTGTCCATTATTCTGCTACGAAGGCCTGCAAGTGGAACTAAAGCAATATAAAATGGCAAATATTGACACTGATAACTGGGAGACACAGTTGCTGATGGTCATGACCTTTGGAGACTGTCTTCAGAAGCATTAGAAAAGGTGAGCAAGAAAGAAAATGTCAGTTAGCTGTGAAGAGGGTGCAGAGAAAACCAGAGGCCAGCAAACCCTGCATTTTACCACTGTCTTCCTCGATAGTAAAATGAGCATAGACTGCCATGCTTGAGTGGGGCTCCTGAGCTACACCAAACAATGCTTAACATTGTTTGAAACATGTAGTCAAATCAATCATCTTATAAGATGAAGGCATTGTTTCCATATCGCCTCCTTTCAAAAACACTGAGCATCTTCACCTTTGACCCTTTATGGTATTTTCCATCACTGCTGTGACCCTAATGGTATTGAGATCACTTTTCTCAATGTTTTCCCATTGAACGTGTGCTAGTTTTTGTCTGTAGTTTTTATTTTGTGCTAGTGTGTCTAGTTTTTCTAAAACTAGATCTAGCATTACTTCCTCCCTCATTGGGCTTGAACATCCCAATGAAGGATGTTCTCTGTACACTTCAGGAGTTCCTTCCTCTTCATGTTGATTACATTGCCTCAACCCCCATATTTTTAAGGATATGCTGCCGATTATTACTACAGTTTCTTCATGGTCCTTTTGAGACATAGTCTGATGATGGAAGGTCGTACCAACAGTGCAATCAAGCAACACCTGATCAGTGATGCCCAATTTGGGTTCCACCAGGGATACTCTGCTCCTGACCCGTTACAGCTTTGGTTCAAACATGGACAAGAGGGCTGAATTCCAGAGGTGAAGTGAGTGACAGCTCTTGACATTAAGACCCATTTGACTGAATGTGGCATCAAGGAGCCCTTGCAAAACTGGAATCAATAAGAAGGGGGCAAGTTGGCATACTGCACACCAAGATGTCAGTCTAACACCTGACAGCATGCCCCAGTCATCTGCACAAGTATTCAAACAAATGTCCATGTTGGAAACTGGGTGAGGGTTAGTCGGCAGTCCAGTCAAGGGGGTTGGCTGTCAGTCGGGGGCCTCGATACAGTAGGTCACACAGTCCACTGGCTTGACGGTGGTCAGTAATCAACTTGGAATGCCTGTGGTCAGGGAACTGGCTGGCTGCAGTCCAGGGAGAGGGCAAACACTCTTGTTCTGTAGGGCCAATACCAGCAGTCAGAGGAATCACATAACATTGGGGAGCTACAAAGACTGTGGTCAGGATTTAGTGGGTCATGTCCTAGGGGCTGCTGGTAGATGTCACTCAGGGAGGCCTTGGGCAAATACAGTCCTTTGAAGTCTGCCTATTGATCATTAAAGAGGATGCAAGGGGGAAACTCCTGGAGGCAGCGGTGGGAATCACTGCCAGTAGGGGTGGGGGAAGCAGAGGCAATTGTGGACATAGGAATAAGAACGCTGGTGGGAAAACTCAAGGTGTGTTGGGGGACATGCAGAACAGCATCAGAGAGGCATGGGTAACTGGGAGGTGGGTCCTCCCCTCCTTCCTGGGTCCTCCACAGTAGGGAGCATGGAGGAGCAGCATGGGCATTGTTAAGGTGTAATATTGGGGTTTAGGGAGAAGTGAGGACAGTTGGAAGCAACATTCAATGTGGTGGATCTTCATATTGGGTGGCTGGGTGGAAATATGATGTCAGGGTATATAATAAGACCTTAAAGACTTTAAAAATAGGAACGGGAGTAGGCCATTCAGCCCTTTTGAGTCTGATCCACAATTCATTAGAATCATGGCTGATCCCACATTCCTCACTTCCTCTTCCTCTTGCCTGTGTTTTCCCTGTAACTCTTAGATTCTTGATCAGTAGAGGAATTATCTGTCTTGGCCTTAAATATACTCAAGGACTCTGCCCCCACAGCTCTCTGTAGCAAGGAGTACCTAAAACACTCAACCCTGAGAAGAACTCCTTCATCAGAATTGATGCCCTTTTATTTGGAGGGGGGAGGTATGGTGGGGGTGGGTGTGTTAACTTGGGGTCTGGTGCTGACTGATCAACTGTGAGCTATGTTCCTGCTATCATTTGCTGTTCTGTCGATTAAACAATGCAATTAAAATTTAGTTGGGACAGCATCCAAGTCTCTGTTACTTTGGTTGAAAGTGTTGAATCTAAGTCTGTTCAATGTTTGGAAATTGAAAGGACTTGTACATGAAGCATGGGTTTGTAAACACCAGTTAAGTCATTTGCAAACATTTCTTCACACATATGCGATGCATACAAAATGACCATTCTTAAGTTTCAGGTGTTGCTTGTGTAGTGCAGACAGCATGTATTATGGCGGTGTGCTATGCTCTGCACAGTTGGTGCAGGAAATGATGACATGATGGATATTGAGGAGCCCAGTGAACAGGGGAAAGATGAGGACATTTGAGTTGGAGCAACCTCTCCTTTGTGGATGATAATGGTGAGCTGCATCAAGTGCTACAGCCAGAAGAACCTGATTGGCACCCAGCTCTAGTAGGTGTGAGCTGGGTGCAGAAGCCCATCATGGACATCAAGGTCAAGGTGCCAACATTTGGTTTGTGTTATGGGTGCAAATATCAACCTGCATTTGCTTCTTTTATGTTCCCTTTTGCTGGCTGTTGACAAGATTTCTTTGGACTTATCTGAATGCTTGATTGTTCAGTAAGGGAACAGCACCTGCATTTGGTCATTGTATGTGAATTCTGGCCACTGGAGACAGTAGCAGGGCCTTGCAGAGCATTTCAATGGAATATATCGAAGAACCTGTGGCCTGGTGGTTAAATGGTGACTACTAGAGAATTGGGGTAGTATGTGTGAGGCAGTGTCAGCCATGCCGGCTATGCGCTGAGAGTGGTGTGGCTTTGTGCCTACTGAAAGGAGCAGTGCAGGTGTGCCAACGCTCGTCCGGATGCACAATGGCCTTTCAGGCATAGTGCGGGTGCAAGGACTCCTGTTTTTTTTTTCATGGAGTTGTTCTGGGAATAGTGTGTGGTAAAATGGGACTAGAATTGGACATGAGGGATGCTGTTGGGGTAAGGTAGGTATTTAATGAGGTGTGCTGGGCAAGATACATTGGGAAGTTTCACTCCACCTCATGGCAGGAATCCGTCCAAAAAAGCTTGATACAATTTGCACTTGGCCAATAAATTCTAAAATCAGCCTTTTGTATCTGTTTTAAAGACAGATTTGCTTTATTTATAACATATATAATACTACACGTTTATGACACTTTGCAAATAGATTTGTGCATCAAATTTCATCAGAAGGCTTGTAGACCAGCTAGTAACCCTAATGAGACTCCTTTTTATCCCTGGCAAATCTGTTTTCCTGCCAATTAGCTATTAAAAGTGTATGTTGAATTTCTGAAGCATTACTCTGCTATCCAATCCCAAAACCATTTACTTTTGTTATTTGGAATTGTTTTAATGCCATCAAATTTAAATGTTTTGAAAACCAACACTTTTTTTATTTTTCTCCCCAGTTAAACTACAACTGCAGGCAGAAGCTATTGGAGTAATATCAATCAAGGGAATCTGTGCTAACCGTTTTCTTGCTATGAATGAAGATGGCAAGTTGTATGGCTCAGTAAGTGGAATTATTTTGAAATCTTATTTACAATGTTTCTGTTTGTGGGTGTTCTTTTGAACCATGCATTTATGCCTTTTATGTGATCACACTGAATGTGCTGGCCTGTGTCTATACCATTTTGACTTGGATGACTCAAGCACAGCGAACTGAACCTGATGTACGGTCAGCTGGAGTCTTAAGGATATTTTCTATTTTTTTAAAAAAAAAACTCATTAAAACAGGATATATTTTAGACCATTTAAAAACCCAGATATTGTTTGCTAAGCAGATCTAGGTGTATAGATAAAGAAAAAATGGCGTTTTTAGTTCAAAGGCAGTCCCAGTGAATAAAGGAAGTCAAAAATTGGCCTCCCCTTAGCTGTTGCATCAGTAGAGCTTTAATTAACAATATTTTAAAGTAATTTTATAACAAATTTTGTTTTGAAAATTATAAATCCCAAAATAAGTCCTAATTAGCTGTTGTCTGCTTATTTTAAAATGCGGACCAACATGTAAATTTTTCAAAGAGAGAGAGACATTTTAAATAGTTGGCAACAGTTAATGTCTTCATTTGCTTCTTCATTTGAGTATTGCCAGTCTTTTTTTTTTGTTTTTAATTAAATGGAACAAAATATTAAATCTGTTCTAATATGCTACATAAGGAAATGATATCAATTTATCTAGAAAGCAGACTGCAGATATCTTTATAGTAAAAGTTCCATGTATCTCCTTCTGTTAACATTGTAGATTCAACAGTTCTCATACTTTTTTTTTACAATATCTTTGGTCAGTCTTGGTACAGCTCTCCTGAGTTGAGAAGGCTGTGTGTCAAGCTTTACTCCAGAGACTATAATCTGAAGTGACGTTTTGGTGCGGTATCGAGAGAGTGCATTTGATAAATAGGAAATTCTCCCAATGTCCTGGCCAATATTTATTGCTGAACCAATATGTCTTGAAACAAAGCAGATTATCTCAATGTTTGAGAGCTTGCTATATGCAAATTGGCTAGTGAATTTCCCAACTTTACAGTAATTATTGTAAAACTGAAGTCTTGAAACAATGAAAGATGCTTGATGAAGATAGTTTTTCATTCTTTAAAATGACCACTTTGTACATCAAACTATTTTATAAAATGCTAGCTCTGTAGACAGCCATCCATATACTCTGTTTCATTTTAAGGTTGTTTTTGTGAAATATTTGCTGAAACGTAGTCTGATTTGGATTAGTTGATATCAGTGCAAATGCTTGAATGCCATGTAATGATAGTGACACTGATTTTCCCCTTTTTTGTCCAGGCAGTCTTTTAACCACATCTTCAAGAGAATATCTTCTAATGTATTATTTTCTATTGCCTCTGCCAGCCACTTCTATATTCTTATTAAAATTAGTAAGCCAATATAAAAAGCAGTTTAGTGCTCTAAGACAGTGCATGCTGAGACTGCTCTGATTATTTTCAGCTTAGTCTTTCATAAATAAGTGAAAGTTGAGAACTCCCCTTCATTGTTCTGACTTGTGTTTGAGCCCATATCCCAGAGGTGAAAAACAATAGATTTTGTTTTTGTCATCCAGTGCCTTAACTTGTGTACTACAAATTCAGTTTTACCTCCTTCTGTTTGCTTGTTAAACAATTTGTTATCCATGCTCCTCAGTATTATAAAACAATTTTTCACTAATATTCATTTGTGCTCTTTTATGATCTGTTTACTTTTTTGTTCTGACTGTAAAGGACCATAAAAGCAATGTCAGTTTCATTTGACCTGCAGTATCAGTCTGAGAAGTAGGCTTGCATAGCTTCACAATAAACTAAATTTATCATTCATATGTGGCTTAGCTATTAAAAATGTGTTTGCTGAATGAAAGTGGTAGAGGGTAGTCAGAAGTCTAGCTCTTATGTGGAGGGAGTTAAAGGCGCAGTCAGAAGCTGTCTGTCTGAGAGGATGGATGGTGAGAAACTTTGGGTTGGTCGGCTGATGGGAATATTCCTGAGTTTCCAGACACGTGGGCAGTGCTGGCAAGGTATTTAAACCTTCCGTTCCTTTAGCTGTTGGGAAACTAGCTGATCAGTGGTAAAACTTCTTTAAAGATAAAAAGGCATGCAAACTCATTCAAAAGCTTTTAAATGAGGGACCTAATTCCTGCAAATGGATTGATAACCTGTCCACCCCTTTCCTTTATTAAGTGGACAAGTTCCAGATGGGTTAGATTCAGGTTTCATAATTTTAAGCACTTTTTTGATCCACTTGACCTGAAAACCACATTTTTTTTTCTTTTTGGGAGGTCAGCCTGAGCTCTCTATTTATCAAACCAAAGATCCCAAATACTTTTCTGTTTAATGGCCTTATTAATGTGTCCTTACACCTTTTTTGAAGGTTTATGTATGTCACCGTCCATTGCACTTCGTTTCAGCATGCATGTGGTAATCACAGACTAGACTGCCAAATTGATGTTGGTCTAGCCAGGGACTCATAACCCTTCCTTTTTTCTGAAAAAAAAGTGGATAAAGTGAGAGATTCCAGCTATGTAGTAATGGAACAAAGCCACTAGATTCCAGTTTTGAACAAGCCACAATAAACTTTACTACACTAAGTGCTGAATTGCCTATTTTTAGGATAAGTTTATTTTTGGGGAGTTTCATGGTAGGTTTCCTTTCAACGCTCACAGCAACTTTTCTTCCACTATAGTCTGCTACTCACCTCCATGAATTATGCATTTGGGCTCTACTGCCAAAGGTAAGGGGTGGACGTGCTCACCGCTTCTGGGACCTTCCATCATTCACATCAATGGCAGCACATTTAAACTCGCCACTTCAATTGGTGCAAGCCAGGAACTGGCCCCTACATTGCTTGATGTTTATCATGTAGGGCATTGCCCCAGGCAGGAATGGAAGCAGGCATCTTGCTTCAGAAAGAAGGACCTGGAAGAGGTGGTGGAGAGGAGAGCCATCCTTTTCCTAAGCTCTGCCAGTACCACTAGATACAGCCAGCCTTAACATACATAAAGCCCTAGGTTATTAACTTTCCTTGGAACAAATCAGATGCACAGCAGGGTTGAAGGCAGCTGATGATTTTGAGTTCCGCATGGGTCATCTCTCTCTGCCATTAGACAGTAACATCCTTGTCTCCACTCCAATGGCTTTTGGTCACTTCTCCCAGACTCCTTCCATCCTCTGCTTTTCCTGCTCTGAGAACAGCCATAAAACACATCCTGTGCAGATGCATGAGATGGGTTGATGTTTCTACAATGCTCCTGTCAATCGCTGTGTACTCAAAGTGCATTAGTCAAGTGCTGAAGTTTATTAAAAGTTAGTTTGAGATCGCAGAACATAAGAACAGGCGTAGGCCATTCAGCCTGTTGAACCCGCCCCGCCATTCAATACAGTCACGATTGATTGAACATTTCAATGCCTTTTACTTACTCTCTCTCTAACCCTGCCCACAGGTATATAGGCAGTCTGAAATCTATCAGTTTCTGCCTTGGACATTGGACATTCATAGCCCTCTATGGTTGAAAATTTCCAAAGGTTCACAATCTTCTGAGTAAACAGTCTGAGATAAGGAGAAATTAAGTTGTCTCATTTCTTTTTAAATTGTGCCCCCAGGTTTTAGATTAATAATCTTGCTTGCAGCTACCCTGTTTATCCCTTTTAAATATTTTGTAGGTTTCAATGAAATTGTCACTCATTCTTAAAAAATCTAGAGAATACAAGCCTAATTTGCCTGATCTCTCAACATCCTGAGAACAAGTCAGCTGAAAATTTATTGCACTCTGGCAATAATATCTTTCCTGAAATAGTCTAAAACTGCTCACAGTATTCTAGGTGCGGTCTAACCAAGCTCTTGTACAGTTGAAAGACAACTTCAGTTATAATATGGTGAGGCTTGTGTTTTGCCGATTATTGACTTCTGTAAACGATGGCTGGACGGGAATGATGTCCATGGAGTTTGTAATGTGATGGTGAATGGACCTTTTACAATGAGGGCCCAAAGAAACAAATTATGAGCCAGGTGACCACTTTGACAATTGGCACCATCTGGTTCCTCGCCTGTGGATGGGAGAATGTGAGGTGCATGTAAATGAGGCAAGATCAATCAATAATGGGATGCAAATGCTTGGAAATAAGGTAGTTGCTGCTTAACTGGCAACATTCAGAACTCGAGGGCAAAATTCAAATTTTTCTCCATGTTGAGAATCTGATTTTGGATTTTGCCATGTTTTTCGAACTTCCTTGGCATTGCCATGCTGGGCTGGGAAAATTCTGCCTGAAAGAAAAGTTAAAGGTAAATTAATTTAAACTATTTATGCAATTTCTATTTTAACATCCAGAACTAACATAAGGTAAATATGGATATCAAAGCAAATCAAATAGTAAATACGGTCAAGAGTAATCTCTCAGATTCCTTAGCAATATTGTGAGTCATCAAATCTCATTAAAAATTTTACTAGAGATTCCAATTTCTTTCTTTCAAAGACCTAACTGCAGAACGTCCTCAGAAACCACTCTGTCACAGACTGCATTAGTAACTGCCCAAAATATTCTTCAGAAAATGCTCTGCTACTCTAAATTCTAGAAACTGCATTCTAGTACTGTCACAGACAGAATCCCAGCTGTTCTGTAGACAGCTTCATGCTGGTAATTTCGCTGAGCTTCAATGTGTCTCACCTGCAGAAAGCAAATACTGTTTCTGGGCTTCCTTCACCTTTGTGCACACAGCTTCTTCTGAACCTCTGCATGTCTAAGGGCTGTTTTGGATGCCTAACCCCAGCACTTAACTGCATTTCTTGGCTCCTTGAACTACTTCTGAGACTAACTTGCTTGAGGCCTGCTACTGCAGTACTATTTTTTTTAAGGATAGAGATCCTTTTCCCTTTTAAATATTTAATTGACACCGCAAAGGTTTCTTTCTGTCTGCATCTAACTGACTAAAACTGAGTATTTACTAAACCTTGAACTGTTCTGAGTGGCCTGTTCAAAGCCTTGCAACAAACCCTGCCTCTATTGCATGGAAAGATTGAAGTTTGCAATTCAACAGTCCAATTCAGCAATCTCTTTAGAACTGCTTATTCTTTGAATGTTACAATTGATCAATCAGATTAGATGAATTCAACAAAAATCGTCACAGCATTTATTTATGTTGCCACCTTAGTTCGCTATCCAAATTTCATCTACTGTTATCTTCTTTATTTCAACAGACTCTTGTAACATCAGAAAATGTGGCATTCCTTTTGAGAATTGAATTAAACTCTGAAAATAACTATATTACTGTGAAGTCAAGAGCCAGATGATTTAAGAAGCTGCCTATTTGATTTGATTGCCAACTGCTTATTGGGTTTAGACTCAATTGAAACCAGGTTTTTGTTTGACTTTTTAACAAATCTCCTTTTCAAGTATAAATGTCCTATTATGTTAATTTAAAAACGGTTTGTTTATTGTCATGTTGCTGGATGTTTGGGTGGTACTCCCACGGATATTCATTTGACTTTTTTTGTGTTGATGGCTTGTTATCATGAGTAATATATCCTTCAGAGGTATCAAGTTTGCAGCTGGGTTAAGCTTATTCCAAACAAATGAACTCATTTCTCTTCAACAGTACTTTGATAGTACAAACTAGAGAACTGTTCTGGAATTTCTTATTGTTAAAGTCAATGTCGTTTTGATTGATGCATCCACCTCTGGGTTTTTTTTTTGCACACCCCCACCCCAAAAGTTACATTTGTGTATGTGAGGAGGTGAGAATTTTGCGGCATTTGTGTGCTGTCTACGACCTGATGCTGATGTTGCCCTTACTAAAGTGGAGGATGCAATAGGAGAGTTTAGTTGTTGCAATATGAATAATGGAACATGGTGAAAAGTGGGAGAAAGACTGATACATGAAATTTAAATGATACAAAAGATTAATTTCATTATCAAATAGATAAAGGAAAATTGGACCAATATATCAAAGAAAATTTGTTAAATGTGATGAGTAGACTGAATGGTGAGTTAAGTTGACACACCCCTTCAGCTTTTGGATCTGGGTTTGTTGTGTCAGCTGCATTATCAGTGGGTTAGCACTCTTGCTTCTGAGTTCCAAGATTCTAGAATCAAGATAGAAATTCCAATGCAGAACTAAGGGAGCCCTGCACTGTTGGAGGTGTCTTCTTTTAGATGCAATATTAAACTATCTGACCCACCTGGCCACTCTGGTTGTTTTAAAAAAAATCCATGGGACTGTTTTGAAGAGGAGCAGGGGAGGTATCGCTCGTGTCCTGGTCAACATCATTTAAAACAATTATCTGGTTAGTATTTCATTGCTGTTTATGGGAGTTTACTGTGTTTATATTCTCTGCATTTCCTACATTGCAGCAGTGACCTCACTTCAAAAATATGTCATTGGCTGTAAAGAATTCTGACATGTCCAGTGGCCATCAAAATCACTATATACATGCAAATCTAGGGGAGGAGGTGGCACAGTGGTTATGTCAGAGCACAATAGTTGAGAGCCACAGCTAACGTTCTGGGGGTCTTCGGTGCAAAAACCTCTGGCTGAGGGTGAAATTTTAAATTTAAATAAAAAGCTAGCCTTATGACAGCTATGTAATCACTATCAACAGGGGTCTTTTGTGATGCAGTGGTATTGCAGTAAGGCCAGAAATTCTGGATTTAAGTCCCACTTGCTCTAGAGGTGTATTTATGACATGTTGATTTTTAAAAAAAAAAAACTAGAAATATAAATCATGCTTTATTAATATTTGTGTTAAAACTAAATGTGTTTCTAATTGACAGTTTTAGTTCCGGTATACCCTGAAGGCTCAGGAATTAAATGCAGCACGTGTGATTGAGCTGTTAACTAGGAACGTACTTGAGGTTGGTTGATCTAATCTAAATTTTTTTGATAAAAGCTGGAGAAATTTTGGGGAAGTAAAATTTTCATAGCTAGGGAAAAGAATGACTGACTGACCTATCAGAGAGAAACAGTGTTAGTTTGTACAAGCAGCTATTGAAGGATCAGTTTTGAATTTATGCATTATATCCTCTTTCTATTTTGTACGACTGAAGAGCATTTGGTGTTGACAGCTGATTGTAAATTGCTACCTGCACTGGCATCACTTAACATTCAACATTTTCCAAATTCTGAGGACAAGGGAGAAAGAAGTTAAATCATAAATCATAAAATCCCTACAGTGCATATAGAGGCCGAAAAGCAAAAGGAACATTAGGAAATAACATTTTTAAAATCAGTTTATTTTGGGAGAGGGTTGTCTATGAAAAAAAATTTGCTTTATTTAACTGTTGTGGTATTCAAAGTTATACACAGTCTTTCTGCCAGTTTGTTAGAGGATACTTTGGGTCAGATAGCAGTTTAATACTAATCCATCAATATTTATTTTTCATAAATATGAATAAACAGTTTGATTCATAACTTATTCCTTTTTCTAAATGTCTAATGTAAAGTTAATTGAAGAATTATTTGATATTTTTATGTTCCTTCTTAACATTCCATTTAAATTTTATAACATGACCATTAGTTTTGAGAACAACAAAATATGGGATATGTCAGAGCAGTGTGCACATTCTTTTTGAAGTATAACACTGCAGCTATCCCAAAAGTTTAGATTAACAACTATGGAAAATAAGTAAGGGAATTAACAAAATTGATTTTGCTTTTTCAAAGGAACTTTTTTTTTTTTGAAAATGTATTTTTCTTTCATCAGTTTCACTCCTCCTCATTCCACATTTCCCTATGTCTTCAGTTCCCCCGGATTACAGCCAGGAACTACTAACTACTGTAAATTTAACCATTGGGATCCACCTAAATTGTTCCTCTATTTCCTGCCAAACAGCCAGTCAATTTGACAGACTTGCCCACTGCTGGGTGGTGGAAGGCATGAGACTTCGGCATGGTCCTCCAGTAATTGAGTGGTTTTTTTATTTCTGTTTGTTGATAAATAGAGATAATGGAGGATATTGGATTGGATCTGGAGACAGATGGTGGTGTTGGGAGGTGAATGGGAAGCGAATAGATGATGACAGCAGAATCTGGAGAAGTCAATGCACCTCTTGGCCCATAATGGGTGTTGTAAAATCCACTATATTCCAGAGGAGGCAGCTTCACCCCTCCATTTCCTGAGTCTTGGGAAATCTGGCAGTTAAATTTAAATCATGTCCCATTGGCACATCATTGCATTCTATTTGACAGCAGCAAAACAGGCATTGATGAATTTTCCCTTGGATGGATGGATGGATGGGACAGACGGACGGTGTCCCTACGCCCGTCCCCGACGGTACGGCCTCGCACGTCCGTTCCTGTAAGCGTTGCTCCGGCGTCAGCTGTAAATACTATTTATGTACCATAAACCTATAGCTATCGTAATTTGTATAGATGGCCTCCCCAGCTGATGGTTGTTTGAAATCCGCCATTCCTTCTCACTTCAAGCTTGGGGTTTGATGACTAGTCATGTCGATCATGATGTTTGTCATCTGTATTTTCTCCCTCCCACTCTCTTTCCCTGATTAATGAGCATCAAGGTCAACTCTAGTATCTCTGTTCCAGTTCCAAAAATTGAACTCAGCGAGGGCTGAAAATGGAACCTTCCTGATTTATACAGCTGTGCTATTAACTGGATCAGTGCCTCCAGAATGTTGGGAGAATCCAAATAGGCTGTTATTTTTATGGAGAATGTTTCCTCTCAGTCACTTCCACATGTCACCCTGTCGCCTTTCAACCAGAGTAGTAGTTTCCACTTTCTGATAGTTTAAAATGTCTAGGGAACCACAGCCTGTTCCAAACCAGAAAGGTATATCATTTATGTTGACTGAATTTATAAAAAAAAAAAAAAAAATTCTCATGGGATGTATTACTGGCAATATCAGGATTTGTTGCCCGTTACTCTTGAGAAGGTGGTGGCGAGCTGACTTCTTAAACTACTACATTCCTGTTATAGGTTCACCCACTGTTCTATTAAGAAGGTCTCCATAAATCTGATAATAAATAAAAGGATTGGCTCACCATCATTGACAGTTTCCCTTATGTTATGAATCTATATTCCAATAAGGAGCAATTGAACAATCTCTAGTTTTGCCTTAATTACACCCAGTAATTATTTTGCAGAAATACCTTCTCTGTAGAATCATCTACTTCCACAGTGTAGGAATTCTGCCATTCGGCCCATCGCGTCCACACACTCCCTCAGAGCATCCCACTCAAACCCATCCCTGTAACTCTGCGTTTCCCATGGCTAATCCATCTAGCCTGCACATTCCTGGACACTATGGGCAATG